ATATACCATTAAACTTTGATACCCTGGAGCTACGAATTTCCACTATTTCTCATGTTTTCAGTCAGTCTTTATGTTTGATGTACAAACAGCACACTACAATATTAATGCTCAGTGGCCCTCGCTATGTCATCGCACTAGAGGCTCAGAATAGTCGACCTCGTTTTTCTAATGTTGTTTCAACTCTGTGGAGCAATGTGTGCGTGTTTTGCAGCACATGGCATTTGTTTCGACTTAGCCAAGTCTCCGTACGTTTACCGATACTATCTCATCTGGACACCTAACTCCACTCGCCACACGTGGGAGCTGTGCCGTTCTTGCCCCACCACTTAACCTCGAACTCCTCCCAGAGTTTCTCGGGATGCGCGTACACTTTCTTCAACCGTTTGATCTCTGCGTCGAAGACCTTATGCGTTATTTTATCGGCTTTACCCTTCTCTACAAACGGTCTCACTCGCTTGCTGAAATTGCTTATCGTCGTTGTAAAGCGTTTTCCATTCAGTAGACCCGTCTTCTTGTCCGTGAACTCCAATACTTTCTTGTGCACCTTCTCGTACATACCCTTTGCATTCAAAAAGTTCTGTAGCAAATAATTGGGCTGATACCGCAAATGCACCATCACGCCATTCTTGTAAGACACCCCGAATTTAAACGTATTGTAATTTTTGATCTTTTGCGGAGAGCGAAACAAGTCCAATGCCCCATCCTTGTCCCAGAAAAAATGTCGCCACTTGACTTCGCCCTGCCTCCTGTGCAGCAGGTAGTTGTGGTACGTCTGATCCCCCTCTAATAGTATAGTATTGATAGCTATATAGTCTACTAGCTGATCAACATCAAAGTATTGCTTTATGACCCTCTCCACCCCCACACAATCTTTCTTGTCAAACCCGTCCTTCAACAGCAGCGCAATACTATTAATGTCTTCGGCCCAGTGCATATCATTTCCGCGGTTCATTTCGCGCAGCCATTGAGGTGGCGCTATGACAGAGGCGGGCAAAGGAGCCCAAGTGTAGTTGTCGGCCTTGAGTAGTGTGTCCGTACGATTTAGTCCGTGATTTTCGAGATAATTCCCATCAATGCTGTTTGAAGAGGAGAGTATGGGTGATGTTGAGACAAAGCCATACACGGGTACGTGGATGTGCATTTGTTGACATACATACAATGGTCATTGTTTCGAGGATGAGAAAGATTGAGGTTGTCGGTCAGTACATTTGAACAAAATTTATGGTTGATATTCTCGCGCGTAACAGTTTTCAACAGAATACGATAGTCAGATTCTCCGACATTCGTAGATTCATAAATCAATTAAATTTTATGGCAATCGGGGCAAAGTAACCCTATTGCACACTCATGCATATATGAACATTGACTTACAATAGGGGATCCAAAAGCTCCACCGGTGGCGTCAGTGGGGCTTCGCGCCAATAGCATTATAAAACTAGAATAAACCAAAGGAAGTC